TGTTGCACTTTTGTTTAACCACATTTTATTTCTTTTATTTATATAGTGTATAAACTCTTACTCAAGAGGCTTTGTAATCAAAATCAAAGGCAAAATTAATGCATCAAATAATATAAATTAAATGTTAACAAAAATATAATGGGACAAATATTTTTCTAATTACCAAATTATCAAGGCCTTCCAGAACCACTCCTTGGAAGACATAAGAGGGAGGACACTGAGAGCCAGTTTGGGCTAGTGGTTAAGGCACTGGGCTAGAAAACCAGAAAACAGTGAGTTCTAGTCTCACCTTAGGCATGAGAGCCAGCTGGGTGACTTTGGATCAATCACTCTCTCCTAGCCCATGTCAGGCTTGCATGACAAGCCGATCAGTCAATTCCTGTGGAATGGGATGGACCAACACTTAGTTGAGCCAAAATTAGAAAAAGCAGATTCTGCACTTGCAGAAAAACACAAAGAAAAATAAGAGGGAGGCCACTCTTGTGTTGAGGATACACCAGAGAGGGTTTCAGCAGGTTCTGACCAGTTCTGGAGAACCAGTAGTGGAAAGTTTGAGTAGTTCGGAGAACCGGTAGTAAAAATTCTGACTGACCCCGCCCCCATCTATTCTCTGCCTCCCAAGTCCCAGCTGATTGGGAGGAAATGGGGATTTTGCAGTAACCTTCCTCTGGAGTGGGGAGGGAATGGAGATTTTACATTATTCTTCCCCTGCCCTACTCACCAAGCCATGCCACACCCACCAAGCCATGCTACGCCCACCAAGCCACACCCACAGAACCGGTAGTAAAAAAATTTGAAACCCACCACTGGGATAAACTGTTATAAATGAGGGGAGCAGTCATAAAAATGCCTGCCTCTTTGACCCTTCCCGTCCCATCTCTTGATAAGAGGAGATTTCAGCAAAGAGCATCTATTCACCCAGATCTGTCATGCAGAATTTACCTGAGATAGAAAATCTCCAAGAGCTTCTGAGCTTCACTTTAAAGAGGTTGCAGAAATAATTGTTTTGCAGAAAGCTTGGATAGGAGGATACTCTGAAAGTATTACTGCTTAAAAAGTCATGTGCCCCATCATAAACTCCAGTTGAGCATAAGAGCAACCAAAGGAGACACTACTTAGAAACTTAGAGTCACATACTGCATAGCACTAACCTTATAGTGACATACATCGGGATAAGGGAAAAAAACACTTATCTAATCTTGGGCTGTCTCAGGCATAGGCTGCTTTAGAAGTGGTGAGTGAGGTAGTAGTATAGATGTGAGCTTAGATACTCAGACCTTGAGTTATATAGGACTTGGTCCTGTCATTGTTATTTAAATCTGGCAGATTGTGGGAATGGAGGTAAAATGAATATTTAGGATCTGTCATTCTGTTAAACAGTTCTCAGGAACCCATCTTAAAAGGTGCTTTTGTCTTGGTTTGTGAACATCCAATACAGTTTTTCCGTTTCAGACATGAATTTCATTCAAAATCACTGTTGCAGCAGTAACAAAATAGAATGAGCAAATAATTAACCACAAATGAGGTTCAGGCATAACTAATGCGGTTTTGAAAGCATCATACAATACATTACTGGCTTTAATGAGGTTTAGTTGCGTCAATATTTTGGTTACTAACTATTTTACCTGTGCCGATTCAAATCACTATCCTTGATTTTCAATTGTTTTGACTATGTTGCTAGTGCTAATCATAAATGGTAATGGCGATAACTGAATTGGCAGATAAAATGAATTTTCTTTTCTTTTTTTGATATTTAGAACAGAAATACGTTTCAGAAGATTCACTCAAAAAGCTGTTATTGCTTATATGAGAAAGCCAAGGTTTCACACATGAGCTTTACCCCTTTTTTCAAGCACTCTAACCAGTACTTTAAAATCATTTTGAAATATACTAAATAGAATATCACCATTCTATGGTGAGCAAGAAAGAATATGGCTATTGCTATTTAACTATTGTGTTTGTATGAATAAACATAAAAATGTTTCAAAAAAATAGTTCACCATTTTCCTACTAAAATTCTTCCTTCCAAGCAGTCATTTGAAATTTTAATTAGAATATAACAAAGTTTTTTATTCCATGTCATTCATTGGCCTGTCTGACTCAGCAATGTCAATATCCATTTTTTTTCCTTCTCTATACAGGTAGCCCTTGATTTACAAACCACAACGGAGCCCAAAATTTCCATTGCTAAGCAAGACAGTTGTTCAGTGACTTGTGCCCCATTTTACAACAGTAAAATAACTTTATTGCCACAGTTATTAAGTAATCACTACAATAGTTAAATGAATCATGTGATCATTAAGAGAATCTGGCTTTTCCCATTGATTTTGCGTGTCGGAAGCCGGCCAGGAAGGTTACAACTGGTGATCACATGATCCCAGGTCAGTGCAAGTGTCATAAATACATGCCAGTTGGTAAGCACCCAGATTTTGATTGTGCGACCATAGGGATGCTACAACAGTTTCAAGTGTGAAAACTGGACATATATCACTTTTTTCCAGTCTTCCGTTTCCAGTTTAGTGAACGGTCACTAAACAACGGTTGTAAGTCGATGACTATCTGTAATGCCTCAAAATACATTTCTCTGTCACCTGAGCTGCTTCCCATCCTTAATGACCAATTACGATATTTTGGACAAGAAGAATATCCACGTTGTAAAAGCAAAGTGCTACTAAAGGTAAAGGTAAAGGTTTCCCTCGCACATATGTGCTAGTCATTCCCAACTCTAGGGGGTGGTGTTCATCGCTGTTTCAAAGCTGAAGAGCCAGTGCTGTCCGAAGACGTCTCCGTGGTCATGTGGCCAGCGTGACTAAAGGCCAAAGGTGCACGGAACACTATTATCTTCCCACCAAAGGTGGTCCCTATTTTTCTACTTGCATTTTTTATGTGCTTTCGAACTGCTAGATTGGCAGAAGCTGGGATAAGTAACGGGAGCTCACCCCGTTAGGCGGCACTAGGGATTCGAACCACTGAACTGCCGACCTTTCAATTGACAAGCTCAGCATCTTAGCCACTGAGCCACCGCATCCCTTAAAGTGCTACTAGTTCCCGCCTATTTACTAATGACCTTTTCCTGGAATGCCTCTGGGCATTCTGGGCACCTAAAAATGGTGAAAGGAAACAATATTGGCTAGTTGGAAGAAAACAGGGGAAATGTGTTTTTTCTTCTTTTGTTATATTTTAGCTGCTGAGTTTGCATGATGACTACAGTAGTAGGGATATCAGCAGACACACAGATTCAGACTTTTCTGGTCCTTTGCTTTTTATGATTTATGATTTGGGTGGTCAAAATGGGTGATCAGAAAAAGAAGGCCTTGTTGCTAGGATTGTCCAAAAATGATCACTGAAGACATGGGCTGCTTCTCTATTTCTCTACCTAATCACACCACAATCACTATAACAAGAGCAATGTTCCCAAAACATTGCATTCACTTCATCCTTAGATTAGCAGATGTTAATTATACCAGTGTTAAAGCTTATTTATTTCAAGACTATCCAAAAACAACCTCTACGTGCATAAAATCTCTTAAGCATCATCACCCTTTACCATGGAGGAAAGTCAGATGCCTGACGATGACTGAAAACAGAGGCAATAAAGGTGGATTAGATCACAGACATCAAGAATGGTTCATAGGCTGGATATTCAGCTTGTGGAATTCCATACTTAAAGAAGGAGGCGGGAAGGAGTGTCTTGAAGGTGATTGTTTTCATTGGGACCACAATAAGAACTTTATTGGCTCACAGCTTCTATTTTAAAAATTTCCTTTAAAAAACACTCTGCAGAGAACCAAGTTTAGCAAAAGGTGCAGCCTGATGTTACCTATTGTGTGTTGCCTTGGCTGCAGTGTGGGCTTCCTTCCTCTGGGCTGGTTTTAGCTTTCTCACATTAATCTAATAGCGGTTTAGTAAAATCCAGAGGGGCTGCAGAATCAATGCAGATGATCGTTATTAACTGCATGCTGGCTGAACCATCCCCAAAAATCATTCTCCCCCCACTCTGGTCTATCATCATAACCACCTTGGGGAATGGAGTTATCTCGGTAGTGGCTTGCCAAAGTCACATGGTGAGTTTCATGGCTGGACTGAGTGCAGTGTCCTGGTCCAAACTGAATACCGACTCATGCTACCATGAGTGTTGGGGTTCTTGCACCACAATAGAGAGGTTGCCTCTAAGAAGCCCTAATCTTAGTGATAACATGCAGTAAAGCGCCCAGTCACAGCAGAAGCATGAACTGTGCAAACGTGGCAAAGAAATCACATGGCAATTATGTACATAAATTCTGTCCACATTCCCTCAATTCCATGTAATATAAACTGGACTTCAAAGTCTATTCAATTAGACTACAGCATTACTCACCTCTCCTAGATAAGAAGCCAGTGACTGCCCCTCCCCAACAATTTCTGAATAAACTTCCTGCATTCAGCTGTCTGTATCTCTCAGTAAAGTAAGGTTGGAAATAGCCTCGAGTAAATTCCCTAGATACATCAGCACCTTGGTCTCCGGTCCTGCCCCTTAAGTTAGGATTATATGACCTAATTTACTAGTAATTTTATTTAAAATAAGCCTTTTAAATTAGGAATAAGCACATTTACAAATCTCAGCCTCAACTTTCAGGTTAAAATGCCAGGCCAAAATAATACTAGCAACTCTTAACCAGAACGTCTATGGAGAGTCATCCATCCAGGTTATAGTTGTCCCAAAGGTGTTTTTTTCAAGAGGCAACTGGGTTTTCTGATGTTTTCTTTGAAGACGTTTCGCTTCTCATTCAAGAAGCTTCTTCAGCTCTGAAACAGAACCTCTTAACTTAACCATTCGGGGAATCCTGTCCTAAATCCTGCGATCTTGGCAGGGGTGAGCCCGGGGTTTCTGCTCCTGCCCTCAGCAGGTTCTCGATCTGTCCCCAGATCGCTCCTGAAGCGGATCCCCAAGGCTGCGCCTCCTGGGCTGACCCCACCCTGGCCGAACCCCAAACCCAGGCAGGACGGGCCGGCCGGCTCACCCAAGAGCAGCAACTTCAGCTCCTTGCTGGAATGCCGCTTGTCTCGACGCAGCCGCCGCTCGATCTCCAGCCTCAGGAGCTGCTCTTCGGATAAGCAGCAGCATTGCCCGCCCATGCTCGGCAGCCGGGCTGAGGGCGCCCCTTCCTTTGGGAACTTCGAAGATCCCTCGGGTAACTCGGGCGCTTCTTCCCCGCCAGGCACAAAACACCGATCGGGCCGGTCGAGGGCAACGGCGGGAGGCCGCAACTCCGGCTGAATTGTCAGCGGACTCGGCTTGTTCCCCCAGGGAGAGCGCAAGTCCCTCGGTCGGCCACGCCCCTTCAACCCACGTTCACTTTTCGGGAAGGAGCCTTTCCGCTTCTGCCCGACGCGGGTTTGTTTTCCTTGTGCTGCAAGGGAGCGTTGCAAGTTGCAGCCTTTGCTTTCTTCCCTTCTACGGTTGAGGATCCGGCGCTGTTCCGGGAACAGCAGATCCGGCCCTAACACCCCCCCCTCCCTTCAGACGTTCGGGATGAACATCCGACAACCTCAAGGTTACCTGGGTTGTCTTCGGTTCTGCAGGCGCACCTTCGCCATCGCCCTCGTTCCTTCGGGATCGCTTCTTCCTAAAAGTCCGTTTAAACGCACCGAATCGACGCCACCGTTTACTGAACAAAACAAAACAAAACAAAACACAAAGGTTTGACAGAGTTACCCAGCGCAATGTCCTAAATCGTGGCTTAACAAGCCACAATGGCTGGCTTGGTGTAATGTGTTAAACCGAAGCTAAACCACGTTATGGATCAGAATCAGTTTAGTTTATGCTTTTGCCGCTCAGTGGGATTGGGGGGAAGGGGAGGAGGAAGAGGAAATCAACATGCAAGATGATGGGTGTGGTGTTGTGATCCAAGCTCCACATGCCTGTTGTCATGTGCACATACAAAACAGGCAGAGCTTGGGTTGTGACAGAGCTCCCACCATCTGTCTGATTTTGATCAGCTTCCTTTGGAAGAAACTTCTAAACCCTAATGTGGTTAATGTAAGGTTTGGTCCAGATTGTTATAGGTCATTAATCATAGTTCATGATTCAATGATACATGTGAAGCTGGTGAGTAGATTCAATGAGAACTATCAAAACTCATTGAAAAAAACATTTTTTTTTGAGCTAGTAACTTCACAACAGAATCCAGCTCACCTCTTTAGTGACGGCCAGTTGTCACCAGTTATAGACTTTGGTGATTTTCCATCTCTGGATTCTTTACTTGCCTCTGTTTTCTATCAGTGTCAACATTTGAGGGGTCTGCTTGTTCATTTCCCATAGCTTTTCCCAAATTTGTCATTTTCTTTTTCTACATGCCTTTACAGGTATATTCTTCCCAGTACCGATATTGCACAATGCACATCCCTCTCCAGGCAGGATAACAAACTTCACAGAGCTGAATTTTTGAACTTTTACCTGTTGGGTGGATACTGCTTGCACACCTTCAGTAGCAAATCTCGTTTCCCGTAACTGTTCCCAATTTTGTCCTTCTCTTTTTCTGCATGCCTTTACAGGTAGATTCTTCCCAGTACAGATATCATTGCACAATGCACATCCCTCTCCAGGCACGATAAATAAACTTCACCGAGCTGAATTTTTGAACTTACCCCTGTTGGGTAGATACTGCCTTGCACACCTTCAGTAGTAAATTCCTGTCACAAGATGTTGAAAAGCAGGATCCCTGGAACCCCCAAGACCACCAACAAGAAGCAATAATAATTTAAACATACAGTACTTAGTCCAAGAAAACTGTGTTTCCTATATATGAACACAGTTTTCTTGGACTAAGTACTGGATGGATGATAGATAGATGGATAGATAGATAGATAGATAGATAGATAGATAGATAGATAGATAGATAGATATAGATGGATGATAGATAGATGGATGATAAATAGATAGATAGATATAGATGGATGATAGATAGATAGATGATAGATAGATAGATAGATAGATAGATAGATAGATAGATAGATAGATAGAGAATTATATATATATATATAGATATATAATTTTTCCAGCCCAACAAATTTTGGAAATAAATCATTGAGGTGCCCTGAGATGGACTCACTCTATCTGTCTGTGTGTCTATCACCAGAAGAACTTTGTAAACTAAATGGGATGAAATTTCATTGGGAAGGGGGAGCCATAGAAAGAAAGATTGAGTTCAACATAATCCAGATCTGTAGAAAAATGTTCCAGAAAAACTCCCTTACTGCATTCCTGTCAGAGAGACAGTTGAGCAGTGACTCGGAATGTTGCTGATTGCTCCATTCTAAATGCCCCTCCCTCTTAGTCATGTGACCCAGAGAGGATGTATATAACTTGCTTTGTTCCTCCCAGTCCTTGCAGAAACACGTATAGAGGTACAAAGGTGTGACATGGCACAGCAGAAAATGGAACCATCTCGTATGAATACTGTTGGGAAAGAGTTGAGGGAAAAGGTTTACTCCATCTTTTTATTCTTTTCAAATCCAGCAAAATCTTTGTAAGAAATTTCATAAAGAGGCTTAAGACTTTGGCTAGCAGACAGACTTAATATAAAGGAGTTTCTGAGGTCATCGAATTGCCTAGATATTATATTTTTATGACATATTCTCTTGGTGGTCTTCAAAAAAAAGTTGTAGCTAGTTACTTCCAATTAGGATGAGAAATACTTCCTACGGGATTGTTGATCTATAGCCTTTACTTTGTTTCAGTTCCACTCGGTTGATGCTTGCAATATTGACTTCTTCTCTTGGGTATGCATTCATACTCTTTCCAACTCAGTTGATGGTCTCCTTGTCCTCACCCTCCCTCCGCCCATTGTTATATATACACTTTCACCTTAAATCCTAATTTCTAGAGGAGGTTGAGGATGAAATTTGGGAAGAGATTTCTTAAACTAGATTTATTTCCAGACAGTTTACACATGGGAGGCTAGCAGCTGATGGCTGCAGTGCTGAAAAGCTATAAAGCTTATTCTTGTTCTTACTGTTTATTTTATTACTCATACTTCGACATTTTTACTCTTTTTTTTCCTGCAGGCTGACCCTGCTAACCTTGAAAGGAAAGTGCAATGGGGATATATTATGGGAATTCCCCAAACTCCCACTGCATTGTGATCCATACTGAGGCAATATTAGCTCATATACTGCAATTAATAAACATAGTTGGGCCTAAGGAAGTGTTAGGCTGGATGGCCCTCTTTCTGGGAATCAGGAACGGTGAGGTAAAGGGCATTCAATTGTTGGAAGAAATATTCTTCTGGGTTCAGTTCCAAGTGGGGAAAAAGACACTGGATTCATGGAAGTTGCTTGGAAAAAAGGTTTATTGATGAACAAGATCACATGGCTTGAGTTCCTGAGCAGAAAAAGAGCCAAGATGCTGAGAGTGCCTTGATTTTATGCCTTCTGTTGGGCTTTGAATTTGAGCTTGTATTCTGATTGGTTGTCAGACTCCTGTGGGGCCATGCAGGGGTAACTCTGTAGGTTGTCTTTTGAGTTCCAGGCTTGGTTGAGCCTTGCTGGGTGATGCAATCTCCCCAGGTGCCATATGGTGAGTTCTGTTGCTAGATGGGTAGAGGGCAAATCCTATCTTTGTTATGGACTGGCTCAGGCCTTAATGGCCCATTAACAAAGGTGAGGGGGGTGAGTTTCTGCCCCCCTTTTTGGGGAAATATTCTGCCCTTTTAATATTTCCTAAAATATCTCATTTTCTTAGGAGAGGGGTGGGTACTAACTTCCTACACTTTCTGAGTTGAATTGGCAACTGAGGATTGACAATCAAAGTAGCTAGTTTTCTTGAGGAGAAAAGGTAAGTCTTTCCAGTATATAATTGGTGGACATTATTTGATCCCAGGATTATAGAGATGATAAGAAGTTAGTGTCTTTTCCTGAATTTAATTAGGGAATCCCACCCCCCACCCCCCAAAATCCATAGGAGCTTTCTTTCTTTAAGTTTTTTATTTTTTAAACAAACAAACATTTAATATATCAGTCATTCCTTCCATGTGACATCTCGGTGTTGTCTCCAATCGTTCTTCTTTTTGTTATTTCTTCTGTCTTCGTTCTCATCAAATCAATTACAACAATTCATCACTAACAAAATATTCTGATTGTAGCATTTTTATACATAACTATTAATTTACTTATTTGTATCTCTTTTCTAACCAATAGTAGAATTGATTCTGTCTTAAAGTATTCTGAATCTTCTCTTTCTTTAATCATCAAAGTCAATCTATTCATTTCTGCACAATCTAAAAATTTTTTAATTACTTCTCCTTCCAAAGGTATTTTCTCTGCTTTCCAATGTTGTGCATAAACAATCCTTGCAGCTGTTATTACATGTATAATCAAATAAATATTTTCTTTGTTATTTTTTTCTGGCAGGATACCCAATAGGAACAGTTCTGGTTTTAAATCAATGTGTTGTATCATTTCTTCCAGCCATATCTTAATTTTATTCCAATAATTTTTAGCTTCTGGACATGTCCATCACATATGGTAATAAGAACCTGGTAACTGGTGACATTTCCAACATTTAGCTGATTTATCTTTAAACATTTTTGCCAGTTTCTCAGGGGGCATATGCCATCTATAAAACATTTTATATTGATTTTCCTTATATGCAGTGGACATTGTTAATTTATAATTCCTTTCCCATAACTGTTGCCATTTATCTAGATCTATTGAATATCCAAAATTCTTTCCCCAGGCTATCATTGTTTCCTTTACTTGCTCCTCCTCCAGTTCAATGCCAAGTAAAAAATTATAGATTTTTAAAATTAATTTAACCACTGTTCCTGTGAGTATCCCATCCAACTCTGTTTTTTCTAAGTAAAAACCATATAGTTTAGCATCTTTTTCATATCTTGTTTGTATCTGCATGTATGTATACCAATCCATCTCAATCCCCTATTCTTCCAATTCTCGTTTCCCTTTCAAATCCCCCTTATCTGTTAGTAAGTCCTTATATCTAATAATATTTCCAACATTAAAAACATTTGGGTGTATCAAAACTTCCATTGTTGATAACCATATTGGTATTTTCAGATAATATTTATCTCTGACCTTCTCCCATACCAATAACAATGCATTCCTTATATAAAATAACTTGGAGAAGTGGAAGAATCTTCAATTGTCACTAATGGAAAGGATTGCAATAATAAAGACAAATATATTACCAAGATTATTATTCATATTTCAGACAGTACTCATAAAAATTGAAAAGACTTATTTTCAACAGCTTAATAAGATAATAAGGAAATTTATATGGCAAGGGAAAAAAGCAAGAATAAGCATAAAAAT